GGGGGGGGGGGGGGGGGGGAAGGAAAGAGTTTCTGTCAAGCTGTGCGTTGCTTAAAGATTAAAACATGATTTTCTGTTGGTATAACCAAAGAAAGTTGAGGTTGAGAAGGAAGTTATTTGGGTAGCTGGGGTAGTTTTGTTGTGAGCTGGGTTATTTTGGGTGAGGGGGAGAGTTGGGGCAGGTGGAGGGTGTATGGATGGCCCTAGGTTTGGGGGTTTTTGAAAGTGGTAGCAAAACAGTGCTAGAAATACACGAAATCTATGAACCTGTCTCAGAGATGCCTTTAGCGTTGTACTCAGTGTGGACTAGGACTTTTATGAAGCAGAAGTATGTTCTCTTGGTTGATTGCCACAAGTAGGTTTATTCTATGCTTCAAGCTAAAGCCCTTTGATGATGATTTTCTTTGCTCTTCCTTAGGTTTAATTCTCAGTTTACTATTAGGTGTCACAAGCAGAGATGTAAAACATAAACTTTCCAAAGCCAAGTGCCATGAAAAAGCAGAGCACAGAGTCTGGATTCCCCTGTCATGCACAGAACTGAACCTTCCAGGTCAGGGTAGGTTGTGTTTTCAACACCATCTGTTGTGCCTGGGGATGCCAATGCAATACTTTTCATGACCAGTAATCTTACACAGTTTGCCATGAAAGAAAATGGAATGCGGATTTTGGTTTTAGTCATCAACTTCTACTCTTATATGCATTTGTATGTGCTTTCAGAAGGCAAATTTTAAGAACAACTTATATGGCAGAGGAACTCATAACACATGTAAGATTTTATCTAGGATTTGGGCTCTGAAATTTGCATATGGGAGCTGACTGGTTTTTCAAGCTCTGACCCAGAAATATGCAGGTAACTTTGATAATCTTTTATTTAAAAAGTGCTAAAGCACTGCTAATGACCCCAGCACTCCAAGAAACTTCTGTAGATTGTGTTGTGCATTTAGTAGCTCCTGTTTGTTTTTTCACCGTGCATTTAGAGCAGATTTCAGTTAGCATATGAGTAACATCATGTCAGTCCTAGTTCTTTTGTTCAGACATCTCTTTTGGCTCCTGGTGTGATTTGGCCCGGTTTTTCAAAATGTTGATCCTGAGTCCAAATGTAACTTTGTGGGTGGTACATATGTCAAGACCTAGTTCAGTATTTTTGGACAGCAGTAGCATTTCATAATTCTTTTGAAATGAAAAGAAGAAACAAAGTTAACTGAAAAAAATGCAGCTAGATCTAGCTGGGCATGAGCTTGCCTGTTCTACTCCCAACTGCTCCCCCTGTTTTTCCATTTGGAAAAATAGAGGCTTACGTGGCAGAAGCACTTAACAAGCTTTAGGCTTATTCAGAGCTGGAAGCAGTAGCATTGCCTTGTCTTTAAAACCTTCCTTGTTATCCCCTGGTGGCCACCAAAACCTCCTGGGATGTGGACAAGCAGGACAGGGAGAGGGGAGGGTTGCAACACTGTGTTGTTAAAGCAGTGAGCTGGGCTGAATTATGCAGGGGGCTGAGTAAGGCCATGCTGGCACTAAAAGAGCCAAGCCACCCCCTCAGGTTCTCTGTATGTCGGTGTTTGATATATCTGCTGCCATATTATATCTTTATATACAGTGCATGACAGTATAAATGCAACTTTATTACATAAAATTAAGATAAATAGTCCAGAAGGTTGTAGCCTGTGTGAAATAAATCCACATACAAAATACAGGAGGTTTTGCAGGGCATATATTAGAATGAACTTCATATCTTCTTTCCATCTCCCCAGTGCAATTACTGAGTTGTTAGCTGAAAAGCTGTGCTTCATGCTTCTCTTGCAGCAAACCACATACTAGTATATTGTTAATTCTGTTTCTCTAGTAATGCAGGATATAGGTACTTTTCCAGAGTGTCTCAGGTTGCTTTTCAGTGTATCTGAGACTGCTGTGGTTGCAGTTCCGAGCATTGATTTTTAAGTGATGGTAATTTTTCAGGCAATAGCAACATCAGCAGCTCATTTGAGATGAGTTTGACACCCAGCTTCCAAGCCCAAGAGGTGACAGGCTATGAGGACTATGACATAGCTCTCTGGGCCTCCTTCACTTAGTTGCACAGCTTCAGGAGGTCACAGGCTAGCCAGCTGCTCTCCCTAATCTGCTGATGGAGCAAGTTAGCTGCAGCCCTTGAAACATGGCCTCCCCCAATGTCTTTACACCAAGGTGTCATAGTTGAAGGCCTGAGGGACAGTAGTTTTTGTAATGATTCCATAAAAGAAGCTGGACACAGCAGTGAGGAGCATTCTTTTGAAGGACACTGGCTTATATGATTCTTTATTCCCTTCTTCCTAAAGCACACTCAGTGTGAGGTGTTGTGCAGGAGAATATAAGGAGAAAGAGGAGAGAAGGAAAAAAGCTTGGTCCTTGTTTTTGTCAACTTACAGGGCAGTGTAAAGTGAAGGCTTTATCTTAAATATTTGTAATTACCTTTCAGATAATGTAGTCTGTGTATAAAGGGCTTGTTTTTTCTTTTAAGAAGGGCTTTGCAAGTAGTTTAGTCACATCAACTTAATTTTGTTTGCTATTTTAACAAATATGTACAACATGAACATTCAGTAGGAATGGTTGACTTCTCAGGCTTGTGGCTTGATTAGTCATTTGACTGATGCCCACAATGGACTCAGCTGACACCCATTTTCTTGGTGGCAGAGAACAATTGGTTCTATGCAAGGCATAGTTCAGATTCCTCAAGGAAGTTTTCCCAAGGCTTCCAGTACTGTAGGTCCAGTTGAAAGCTTTGAAACATATTCATGAGTAGTCAGAAATAGTACATTTTTTTCTCTACGTTCAAACCAGGATATTCAAGTTAGTGAGTGAGGCAGAGATATTTGTTGGAAATAAAGGAAGGAACAAGAGCAAAAGCTATGACTGACTCCTCCTTACCAACTAAATGCTATTCCAGGATTTAAACATCAGGGAAGTATTATCATGTTGGCTACTTGTAGTAATTTCTGCCTCTTTGTTTGTTTTAAGGCCTAATTTATTCGCCCTCCCCAGTGCAGAATGCCATTTGAATGCCTTCACTGTATTGTGTCTTACAGAGATGGCCAAATATTATGGCTATATATCCTAAGATGTTCTTGACTACATGAAGGACCCACTGTATTTTGCAAACTTCACCTATTTTCATTTTGGGATTTTATACATAGTAATGCTTTGTAGTATGTGAGGAGAGCCCTCCACTACTGTTTCTTCTGTGCATTTTGGTTGCTTGTCTTTTTTTTCTTGGTCCTTCCTCACCTCCAAAACCCTAATATGATCCCTTCCTGTGATTACTGGGAAATGTAACGGTGGGGCTTAAATGTCTAGCAACTCTCAGTAAGTCTGAGGCTTGCCTGGGTGATGCAGCATGTACAGCACCATTTATTGATCCCAGGCCTGTGCCATATTTTGGTGAAACTGGTAAGTTTGATTGCAATATAGGATTTCACCCTTAATTTTTAATTTCCTGCTGGTTTAGTCACAGCCTTAACATTGCTTAAAACAATCCCAAGCTTAAACTGACTCCCTGGAGCTCAGGCAGCCATCCTGAAGAGTGAAGAGCTACACAGCAGAGGTTGGCAATGGATGGCAGGGGACCTGCCCAGCACCTTTCCTCCCCCTCCTGTTTGTGCACTTGGGTGTTTCTGGTATCACCCTGAGGGCTTTGGGCATGGACAGGCCAGGAGGGAAGCACAACATGCAAGGAAAGGCTGAGGAGGGGCGACTTTGTGCTAAGAAGGGAAGCATGTCCCTCTGGGACAATGTACCTTAGCCAAAAAGGTGCCCCAGCACCTGAGCTCAAGCATGTATTATACTAACCACAGGACTCTACAGCTTATGACAATGACTGTCATCTTCTGTTGTTTTTTTTTTATTATTTCTCACTGGCAAAATTGCTAACCTTCTCACCTCATCAGTGTCAACAGCTGGATGTGTAAAAGGTAGAGTACGCAGGCATGCAGTGAACAGAATCGGAGCATGAGCATTTACTTCTCTTGTCTCTTGTCCATGGGAAAGCTGTGAAATGTGAAACTTCTGACAATCTTGACTGTTGCAGTCAAGGTCAAATGAGCACTAAATATCCTAAGACTTCAGCACGTCTTGGTTTCTGCAGTCCTGGAGGGTGAGAACAGGATCAGAAAGCTGTTTCACACCGTGTGTACACGTCCTGTCATTGCTCACGTTTCACATTAACACTGTGAATCTAGGCATTGGTTAGCTTCTTGGATTTGGGGTTGTTTTGTTTGAGTTTTTTAATTTGGTTGAGTTTGGGTTTTTTTATGACAATGAATTATGGTGTAGCTGGTATCATATCTGACAATATCTTAACTGATTAGGATGTTATTCCAGTTCACCTCTTTCTTTGCAATCAATAGGAGCAGCCTGGCATGTTAGATGTTTTCCCATCTTCACTTTTCCTTTTGGTGAAATTGTAAATATTTACAGTAAACCTTCCTGCAGAAAAATGAATTTACATCTTGGTTCAAAGACAGAGTCCCTAGGAAAAAAATTTCCTTCCCCCCCCCCCTCCCATTTTTGAAATCTCAACTGCTTGTTTCAGGACACTGGGTCACTAATTGAGTACAAGCTTCATAAATGTTGTTTGTCCTCCCTCCACAGGGCATACAAAACCATTGAGGAAGATGACTTGAAGTTTCCCCTTATATATGGAGAAGGCAAGAAGGTGGGCGCGTTTGCTTTCCTCAAACCAAAGGAAGAAGGAATTTTGTGCTGTTTACCACTCAGTTTAGCCCATAGCAGTCGGGTGTTTTCCACTCAGTATCTCTTTATTTTATCGTTTTGACAGCTTGAAAGAATATCTGGGTTCTGTCATAAATCAGTCTCATGTCTGGGGGGTGGTGGGGAGAGCTCAACATAGTAATAAGCATTTTACAGGAGTCATTTGTTGTTTAGTTTGCTTTTGTTTTTCTTTCATTGTAAATGGGCTACAATGACACTGTCGTAACTAATTGACTTTAAATGTTCCTGTTTCAGTGTAAAATATAACTAGAACAAAGCAGGAAGATAATAGTGCTCTGAGATGCAAAACTAATTTAGGAAGAGGAGGGATCAGGGCAGGATTTGTAAAGTATAACACCTTTTAACCTTATCTTCTTCAGCTAGTGTATGTGAACTCACTTTGAATTTTTCTGATGTGTGAAGGCTGACAGTTGAAAGGGAGAAACACTGTTCTGTTTGTTATACTTGCTTTCAGCTCTGTGATTAAGAACAGTGAGATTGCTAGTGTTGGTCCCAGCAAGCTTAGCTGGATGTAGCAATAGGATCAATCTAAGGACAGAGTGGTGTCAGTTTGCTGATATTGGTATGCTTGCTGTTTCTAAACAGTGCTCCTCTGCTTCATTAGGTTCTTATCTCAATGCAAAAATAGACACTCTTCAAAATTAGTCCATGTTTTGAAGGTTCAGATGTGCAGCTTATCTCTGAATTTCATTAAATTTATAATTTTTTTCAAAATGTTTCATGCACATGTTTTTAATTTACTTTCTTATTGCCCTGTGGAGCCAGGAGTCACTGAGGCAAAAAGATTCAGTTGCTCACTGTTAGTGATGCTGAGCTCCCTTGTTCAGAAGTTGCTGTGGCTAAGCTTGAGTTTGGGGAAAGTGATATGCAAAGCAGGATTCCCTGGGAGGCTGAATGCCTGGCCAGTCTTTGGAGCAGCTTCAATGAAGGAGAGCCCAGAACCTCTTGGGACAGTGCTCATGTCACAGAGGAAGGTGCTGTGGGAAGGAAGTGGTAGATATGAGGGAACAGCAGACCTGCTGTAGACTGACTCTCCCTAGAAGAGAGCACTGTGGTCAGTGCTGCTATCAACTGTGTGTTCAGCAATTCAGGGTGGCCTTTGGCACTTCCCCTGGTAAAGGGAATATACAACAATATGTCAATAGGAAGATGCCATGCATTCCTTATGTAAGTAAATAAGCTCCTTGTCCTCTTTATAAAACCTATACTAACGGTATAATTCGCTGAAGGAACGGTCTCATAAACTGGTGTGGACACTGAGGTGACTGGATTAGGTTTCTATAGACCCAGTACCTTAGAGATGATGACTCAGTGGGATGTGAATGAAAACAAAGCTTGGAATAAGGAGAAAAATGTAGATGGCATGAGTATGAAAAGCTTTCACACTGATTAGCTATGTTAAATTTAGAGTTTCTGGGAGAGAAAAGGAATTCATCTAACTAACTGTAGCAGTTACAGAGTAGGAATGTTGTCTCATTCACTATTGACATAGTCCATGTAACAAGATTTTATCCCATTGCTTTTCTTTATTTCCAGGCTCGGGTTATGGCAACAATTGGAGTGACCCGAGGACTGGGAGACCATGACCTGAAAGTGCACGACTCCAATATATACATCAAACCTTTCCTGTCCTCATCTCCTGAGGTAAAACAGCCAAGGTTCAACTGTCTGATTTGAGAGAGGGAAATAAATTTACTTAGTGCATTTATTTGTTCTTCTCAAATCATCCATTCTAATTGTGATCCAGTCCAGGTAACATGCTGCCCTTTCCGAAGGTGCAGCATGATAGTAACATCCATGGTTCATAGCAGATTCTAAGTTCCCCAGCTGTGTGCTCTAGCTCTGATTACTCTACATCGCTGCAGAGCACTGATTCCTTCTCACTCCCTGTTCCATGGTTATCCCATAGCCTTGCTGTTCAATATGTTACAGATGCCCATCTCTCCTTCCACCTTTGTGTGCTCCAGCTCCTGTCAAGGCCTAGATCATGCTGCCTTCACAGAAGGTGTCAATCCGTGTATTGCAGAAGGGATGTCTTCCACAGCAGTGTAGTATCCTGCATTACACAGAGAATACCTGATCAACTCTTAAGCGGGAGAATGCCAAGAGCCATAAGGAGAATACTTTATGCTTCAATCTGTCAGCCCCTTAACCTTCAGTTCTTAATCCTTTTCATAGTTAAATTGACAAATAATGACAGTGTGCATTCCCAAATGATGGTGTAATGAGATTATGTGGTATTCAGGTTAGGGGTAGCTTTAAATGTTTCTGCTAGTTCAGATGGCCTCATCGCAAGCAATTCCAGCCAGGTTTTGACCACTGGAGTGAAGTTTTGATCACTTACAGTGAAGGATATCAAGCCTTCCAAAGAAATTTAAATGTATTTGTTAACAAGGGGCATGCAACCCTTGCTTTTTTTCTCCCTCTGTAACTGCATTCCTGTTCCTATGTCAAGGAACAGATATCACATATTTTTCATAAAATATTAAGCAAGGGCAAACCATCTGATGACAGCACAAAAAGAGGCAGCTTTGCTTCCATGGCCCAAGTGCTGATAACTGTCCATTGTCAACTGGACTGCCAAAGTTTTAACCATACTCAGTATTTTACCTTGAATTTGTTGCTTGCTCTAGCAGTATGAGAGAATAGAAACACACAAGTAACATCATACTGCTAGGAAGGAACCAAATTATTAAATTAACCTTGCTTAGAACATCTCCAAGGCATATTTGTCCGGAATGTTTCAGGCTGCTCAAAGAATCACTGGCAAAAGTATTAGCAAAAGCATGTTTAATATTAAAATGAAAGCATGACAAAGTTTGTTGGCAGGTTTCACTCTACTACTTATTAGATGGCTGGAGCACACAGAGAAAAAGTTGGACTGAAATCTAAAATCAATCAGTCTAAAACTAAAATCAGCCAAAAATTATCTATGTGGGAGCTAGGGACAAAAAAACTTAAGGGTAAGGAATGAGGATAAGGGTAAGGATAAAAAGGAATAAGTGAGACCCTCCTGCTGAGTCCTGCTGAGTCAGAGTAAACCCCCTTGCCAAACTTATCTCCAGACTTCACCACCAGTTTAGGCTTAAAGGTTTTAACAACACTTAATCAATAGCTGAATTTAAACAATTTAACGAAAGATTCTATGGAATTTCTTTAAGCACAACAGTAACTGACTTACAGGCTTAACTTATGAATATAACATTTAAGAATCTAAGAGAGCAACATTCCTAGCACCTTTGCTATAACATATTCACACTCATAGGTACACAGACCTCAAAGAGTATGTACACAGCCTGCTGTGGTCCAGGAGAACTCAGAGTCTCACTTGGACTCACTGTTTATAAGGTTGCAGGAAAGTTGGCTTTAGCCATAGTAATTTTCCATTCTGCCTGCAATTTGGGTGGTAATTTTCTCTGAAAGTTTGATAACTTTGTTATAACATTGTTCCATTTGGGTTGTTATTCAGGTAAGAAGAGTAAGTTTCCAAGGCTGTCTGAAAAAAAACAGGTGCTCGTTAGACAGCACAGGTTCCTGGGAGCAGTGTTTCTGATAAGCTTGAGAGGAGCTCAGCCCAGGTGCTGTTCATCAAGGCCAAGGCCTGACAACATTTCTGAGATCATAGTGTGGCCTGAGGAGGGGCAAGGAGGAAGAATGCACTACCACAAACCACCCCACAGCTGAAGGTGATCTGTTTTACTCCACAGAGTGGCAGTGTGATCCCTGTGCCTATAAACAGAGAGATAAAATTTATATTTATATATATTTATATTTATTATATATAAATTATATAGTAAAATTCCAGTTATAAAAATAAAAAGTTTAAAAGTGCTGAGAGAATCCAGCCCTGAAGAAAAGAGGGAGATCTACACACAGCCCCTTCTTCATGTTTCCCTCCTATCAATTGTGTACTTTCTCTCTCCCGCTTTAAATGTGTGGTGTCCCTCACTTGAAAGCTGCTCCTGTTCTCCTCAGGCAGGCAGGAGCTCTGCCCTTATCACTGGGATGGATTTGTTTAATGCCAGAAAAATGATGCAATCCTACCTATTTATTTTTGATTCTGGCTTGCTGAGACCCAGTGTTTTGGGGTACATAATGGCTGCAGCACAGCATCCCAGAAATATCATCTCTGCCAATCGCTGCTGCAGTGTTTGTGTGTGTCTATAAACCAAAGCTTCTCATGGGCTTTTCTGATTTGTGGGGAATGTGTCCATACACGTTCAAATTCTGGAATGTGGCATCCAGTTCGTATGCTAGCCACGTTTCAGGATCTCTTAACTGCTTTGCAAAAGGAAGTAAAACTGGCTTTGTTTCCACATACTCTTCACAGCTAAATTCAGCAGAAATGTATGAGGGCAGGAGGAGGAAAGACAGAGCACCAGCCACCTTAATTTAGAGATGCTGGCAAAAAAACCCTGAGTATTATTAGGAAGTAGCATATGCTCCAACTTGCTTTCCATCACACCTTCTCCTCTTAATCATCTCTTCCCTCTCTTCCCAGAGAGAGCCCCAGTGCTTGAACTCCTCATGTTTTTCCCTGACTTGTTCTGTCCAAACATGGGCAGCACACCTTGCACAGAAACCGGCTTTAAGAAACAACATCTTTATTCTGCCATCTGGGAGGCGTGGCACTTGGAAGCAAAGGCAGTGATGTCAGGCAGCAGTCATATTTGGTCCCTGTGCAGCAGTGGATTTTGAATTGTCTATATAGAGATAGGGAAGCACAATATGTGGTTTCCAGACCTGGAAAAAAAGAGGCACAGGAAATTAAGGCACAGAGTGAGCTGTGAGAGAGGGAAGATCCAAGTTCTCTGGCTTCTTTTTCTGTGCCATAATTGCAATGTCCTTTCTCAAGTAAGGGGCAGTGTGGTGAGTTTCCTTCCAGCACATTTTACTTCCATTATGACAAAGCACTGGTATGCCATATCCACCAAAATTTAGCTCAAGGAGAGGTAAACATCCCTGAGACTACATCCAGAAATAGGCGTATAATAGTAATTTGAGGGTGGTGTGAAATGATACTTTGACAGAGTGCCGGGCTATGGGAGGAAAAGTCATGCAGCCAAGACTGACAAATGTAATCAGTATTCACTGGCTCAGCTGTTATGAGATCAGATTTGGAGGACTTCTGCAGGTTGGTGAGCTCTAGAGATTTGAACCTCTTATAATGAACTGGAGTAGCACAAAGCAGGCAAACCATGGCTGAAGCTCTCTGGCATGGAATTAAATATTTATTTTTCATAATGGAAGAGTTAATTTGAAAGTTTTCAGCAGGAAATTCTGCTTTTCAAAGCTTAGTAAGAGCCACCTTGTTGCAGATGAAAAGCAGAATTTCATCCCGAAATTTTTTGAATGGCAGCTCAGCTAGATGTGGCTGTGATAGCAGCATTTGGCCCTTGCCAGCAAGGAACCCAAAGCCAGCCACCAGAGCAAATGATAATACGGTAATGTAGAAGAATTTTCATTGTTCCATAGTGTTAGTAAAATCTTTCTGATAACTCCACACATACGTTGAGGAGGAGACCATTTTAGATTCACATCTGCCTTCCGGAGAAATCCTCAGGAATTATGCCATCAAAAGGAACAAGTAATGCGAATACATAGGGAGTATGGGATCAAAGGGGGTCAAAGTGGCTTCAGGAAGCAAACATCACACTTGAGTGGCTTCAGGTCCTTGAGGTTATATCTACAAGAGAATTAAAATAATAATAATAATAAATGCAGTTGATGCTCTTGCATGAGCACTTTGACTCCTCAGAAAATGTTTGAGAAACCATTGTGCATCACAGTATAAACTATACTTTTATATCACAATATAAATGATACAAAGCTACAGACAAAGTGGAAAGTTGGCACAGTCTACTGGAAATTGGCTAACGGGCAGGAAACAAAGGGTGGCAGTAAAAAGCTGAAAGGAGATTAATTGGTGAATGCTGCAGGGAGCAGTGTTGGGACCCACTTTTTATTATTTACATATGAATTACATGGAGAGTGGTACTGAAAGATCTCATCATTTGCCAGGAAAAGCTACACTGGGTAACACTGCACATAAAAGGGACAATACAATTAAGAAAGGGCTTAATTTATTGAGGTAGCTGGGCTGATCAATAGTGCAGATGAGTGAACGCAGGCTGTTGTTTAGTTAGAATTCCCTCGAGGCCGGCTGCTGAGGAGCACCTCAGGTGGCTGCAGGCTCACATGTCACTCTGTTGTGAGTGGTTTTCCAGCCACAGGGACTCGCGTTGGCTACCTCTTAAAAACAAACCTGGCAAACGAGGCACAGCGCCTTCTCAGGGCTGCTGCAGTCCTTTGCAACAGCCAAAGGCAGGGTCTGTCCAGTGGGTAGATCTGTTTGAAATGTAAATAAAAAACAGCCCATCTGTTTGTTCGTTGCTTGCCCAGAGCAGTTTTCTCAGTGCTCTTGACTGCATGTAGGTAATATGTAATATGAGAAACAAATACCTTCATTGAAGAATTTGACAAACTGCATAATGCGCGTTCAGAAAGACGTGTATGACTGTGGGCTCTAGTAGTGTGTATCCACTGTTACCTCTCAGCAGATCTGTAAGTACTAGTCATGTTAACTAGTATTCTCCTATCTGTAGGATATAAGGGTAACCCAGTGCTTATTGCTGTGGCTTCCTGGCTAGTTTTGCTGCTGAGGTACTTCTACTTGTTCCGTATAGCTTTTACATTTTCTGGTTGCTAACATCAAGTTCAGCTAGTTAACAGGTCAGCTGCTTTACATCAATAAGACAGCAACAGATTGGAGAAGTATGGTGACAAACCTGGCTCCTTCCAGGGCTGCCCTGACACTCCAGAGAGATTAATTTAAAGAGTAGGAAACTCACTTTTCCCCCCAGAAGGGGCTGGTAAGCTGGAGGGAGGGCTCTCAGGACAGCATAGGAAGCTGAGGACACCAGTTCTGTGGGGCACTCTCAGGACAGATGTCTGGCTGAGCAATTGACAAGGAAAAGACTGAAGATTTAAGATGGCATTGTTAGGAAATTTGTCAAGGGTGCTGCACCAGTTAAGGAAACCTCTATACTGCCAGTCATTTTCTGACCAGCTGTCACCTGGAGGAGGGCTCTTCAATGCTGCTTTATAGTGTGAGCAGCTTTGCACAAACCTGTGTCACAGACAGAACTTTCCTTAAACCTCACTCTTTACTTTACTGAAATGCAGCTACAGGAAGGAGGCAGTCATTGGGAAGGTTTAGTCTGGAATTTAAAAAAACAAAGCAACATAGTAATTTTCATTGCAATCGTTGAGCTGCTTTTGGTCACATAAGATTTAATGGGCTATGTGATTCATTGCTGTTGCAGGCACTTAGGTAATTCCCTGGATGTCTCCTCATGCTTCTAAACTGTGGTGTATCATACTCTGTCACATTTTTTGTACAATGTAGAGTGTGCTATGGGTGCTGCACAGCGTGGGATGTGTGTGGAGTGGGTGTTCAGTGAGCCCTGCTGGGCTCAGCTTCTGTTCCGTGTGGTGCTTCCCAGCCTGTGTGTCTCCAGGAGCTCTGCTGTCGCACTGCTCCAAGTCCAGCTGAAGGCACAGGGTGCTACTGCAAGAGACCCTCCATGACCCAAACAAAGGTGCTGGCAGAAAAATGAAGGGTTAGGAGCTGATTACTTTCTGCACCTGGACAAGGCAATCTGTGAACATAACCTGACCCTGCAATGGATTGGACAGCTCTAACTCTTTTTTGTCGGCAACATATTAGGGGCACCTACAGCTGTATTTAAGAAATGCAAAGCAAGACACAAAGAAAGGACTTTAAGGCAACTGGAAGGCAGAGAAAACTGCATTTCATTGGATGTTTTGTTACATGCCCAACTGGTCCTTATATGCAACAATTTTATGTCAGTTGCCCCAAGCTTGTCTCCTGTAACTTTGGCAGTCTCTTTTCCTGGCCTAAGACCTCATTGTCCTCTCCATCTCTTTTGGCATCTAGTTTCTTCTCAACATATTCCTTTCTGCTGGAGGAGCCCAGTTCACAAAGCTTGTCATTTTAGGAAGTACCCTTCTTCTTAGATTGCACAATAAATCAGTGAATGTATTTTTTTTCCTGTTCCCCTAAAACAAAACATATTCTTGGTAGAGTGATCTCTTCTTGATGTTGCTCTTGAGTTTTGATCCATCAACTGGCTGCAGGTAGCTTTGAAAAGTTTCTCATGCATCCCAGTGCTGCTCTTCAGTCAGACAAAATGGTTCTTTTCAGGAGGATTCCAATCAGTGATGTATGATTTTGCTTTCCTGCCTTCTTCCCCATCGAAGCTGCAGAAATGGCTCCTGTGCTGTAATGTGTCTTTTGCCTCAGTTGGGATGTGCTTTTCCCAGCACAGATCTTTGAAGCTTGGTTAGCCCTACCAGAGCCTTAGTGCTGAGTGCATCCCTGAGCATTAACTCTGATGCTTTCTCAAGTACTTGCTGGTCCCCAAGAGATCTGACCAGAACATGTGCTGTATATTGATGGTTGTGTTGGCTGACTTACTGTCCACACCCCAGTGATTTCTGAGTTGCAACTGTGGGCTGTTAAAGCTGAACTAAGTTCTGGGACACAGGGACTATGACAGCTACTGATTTCTGTACAAAAAGCTTGAGATGAGAGCTGTGCTGCATATATGGGTCTTTTCTATATTCCCACTCAAGTCTGAATAAGCAGATATGCTCTAATGAAGGGAGTATCTTGCCTTGAATTTAATCCTCTCCCAAGTCCTTATTCAGCTGCTACCTTAGATAATGAAGTGAAGGTTACATTTTACAAATGACCTTCTTGTGCTTTTGAGTGAAAGGCGAACTGGTAAGGATTAGCAGTGAAAAATTTTAAATTTTTTTTTTTTCCTCTTGTACTGGTTGAAGTCCCATAAAAGCATAATTACATTAAAAGGTCCAAGCATTTTATATGCACTGCCTGCTTCATGGCTCCTAAGGGGAGAGTGCACCATGAGGCAGAATAAAACAGCTCATATTTTCTTGTTATGCCAAGTGCTTGTCCTGACTAACTGCTGTTAGCAGAGTCCAGGACTGGAGTAGGGTTCATGATTAGGTGCACCGTTTCTGAATTTCAGTATAGGTGATCCTTCCCTCCTGACTGCCTTGCCGTGGTTGTTACAGTTCTTTCAAACTGTGGTTGTTGCTGTGGTAATTAAAGTGCTCTGTGGGTGCTTCCTAATGGCTCCCCATCACAACCTGGGAATTGTGGGCATTTCTCAGCTGGAGTGCAGCATATGCTGGAAGGGGAGTTACACCAAACTGAAGGCTTACTTTAAAACACTTTCTATGGCCTTTGCTTGCATTCTGGCTCAGCTGTTGGCTTTGTAGCAACCCCCACCGTGGCTGCCTCTGCCACTCTCAGCCTCTCTGGGAAGAGGATGGTGGAAGTTGTTTTAAAAGGCAGGGTGTTAAGAGGTGCCAGCAATGATCAGCCTGACTAGGGCTGCAGACAGATGAGTTGAAGTCAATGGGTATTTTAATAGTACAAATAAGCTTCATCTCTGTGCAGATCCTGAATTCGTCTGTAGCTACTGAAAGCCTTACAGATAAATGTGACTGAGCAGTTTTTCTGCATTTCATGGAACCACTCACTTGCTCAGGCAAAACTCTTGAGTGCAGCAGCTGCCTCAGGTTTAGAAAAGTGAATGCAATGCTGGCTGTCACACAGGCATTTCCAAACATGCAATCTGGCAGACTTAAATGGATCTGGACAAATAGTGAAAACAATTATTTGTGAATATTTTATTAGAAAATATCAAAAATTCATCAAATAAATTATTCAGCTTCCATATGACTAGTCCTGCCAATGATAGGGAGGAGCCTCATGCACTGAAGCCAGGCTGCCGGGTGGGGGAGGCTTCAAGTGCTTCTGGCATCAGGCAGTGCCGTGCCTTAGAGCCTGGTTTCGGAACGCTTGCATCCATCCTGTCTGGGGTTAGCACCTGAGCCACACGGAGCTGCAGCAGGAGGGGTTGCTGTGTGGAGGGCTGAATTGGAGACAGACTCCACCAGTGCCATGGGAGGTTATTTCAGTGCCCTGGTTGAACCTGATAAACTCACAGCCAAACTCAGCAATGTTTCACAAACAGGTGTGACAGTTGCCTCCTTCGTGAATGTCTCTTGTTTTTTTTTATTTTAGGTGCGAGTCTATGACCTCCTGCAGTATGAGCATGGGCCAGATGATGTTCTGATCCTAGCTACTGATGGACTCTGGGATGTGCTGTTAAATGAAGAAGTGGCAGAAGCTGTCACTAACTTTCTACCAAACTGTGACCCTGATGATCCCCACAGGTTCGTGCTCATCCCTGATTTTCCAACTTCTCCATAGAAGAACACTTTCTGGTAACATATTTTTGTAGAAAGTATGATATGAATAACATTTGGTAAATATGCAACACTTACAAGAGAACATTTTTATAGGTTGGATGGAGCCTCTACAGCAAATGTGAGCAGTTGGAGCAGGGGCTCTGTTAGAACTCAAAAATGCCCGCCTTCAAAGGAATAGGTGTGGGATCACAGTATCTTGGGATGGGATCCATTTTGTTTGCTGTATGAGGTCCTGTGAAAACTGTAGGAGACTGGGAAGAACATGGCAACAAGTCCTTCCTCTGGACAATCCCTTAACACTAAAGATGGTTTCTCAGGACATCCTCAACATCTCCCTCTCTCACTCTGTGTGTTTATAAATACTGCACACTGTGGTTCCCACTTATTCCTAGTCATGGTGTGACCTTTAAACCCACCTTCCATAGAGGATGCTCAGTGCTACCAGCTGCAGGACAGGTGTGGTGACAAAATAGGTGGAAAGTCTGACTTCTATTTCATTTAATTAGATCCTGCTTCATTTCACCATTTTAATCCATCTCATGCGCTTCATTTTTCTATCTTTATCACTTCTTAGATTATCAGTTTCTGTCCTTAAAACATGCTATCATGCAAACAAACAAGTTCCCAAACAACCATCTAGAGGCTGTCTACCTTGAGTGAGTCCATAGGTTTGTCTGCTACTGAGTTCAGTGTCACTGTGAATTAAAACATCATGCAGGGGATTGGAAGTCTCTTGCTTGTAAATGGGACTGTGAAAGTGGAAAGAGCTTTATTTGTTCTTAGGGACTGTTCAGGAAGGAAAGTGTATGTTGCTGGTGAATTTAGGTCCATCTCCCACTGTGTTCTGCCCTCACCCTGGGCTGAGAGCGGGGAAGAGAGATTTTACACATCCCCAGCTGATCTATGTGAAGTGGAGTTTCAGAAATAGCTGAGACCCATCTCAAAATGCTTGCTGTTCCACATATTTCTAGGTGGCCATCTTCACAGGGTCAGCCCTGTTCATCAACAAACAAGATAACTGGGTATGGATACCTAGACAGTGACTTGGATTTTAAAGAGAGAACACCTTCAAAATAACTCAACAACAGTATTTTCTTGTCCTGACACAAATACAGAATGCAGAAAGAGGTTTTGCTGCAATCATTGAGAGAAGGGATGATTGATGATTATCATGAAGCTGCAACTACAATATTTTGACTTTGCCCATCTCCTTATGCCAAAGATAAGATGTGGTATGAATGGTAGTCTCAGGCCATCTCTAATTCAGCAAGATATCTCTGGGAGGAGATCAGACAGGATCAGCTAAGGGCACTTCCAGGGCATCTGGCAGTTTGCTATGCAGACATGCCATTAATTCAAGGTAGGAGGAGATGACCCATCCAGCCGACTTTCAGTTATTCCCTAACACCTTTCAGAAATGCCAAGGTGCTTTTGTTCTCATTCCTGCACTCTTGAGATTCTTTGAAAGGCACCTGATAACATGCAATACCTCTGTCCTGCTCTGTCTCCATTCTCATCTTGTAATTGGGAAATGTTGCTCCTGCCTTCCACCCTCACCAGTCCCATCTGTTGTAAATGCAGTCAGAGTGTGTTGTGTCTGTCTTGTTCCTTTTGGTCTTTACTAAGCTGATGGTGATGGCCACCATGATTGCTGCAGTAGGAAGCAGGATTCCTCAAGCTTTTTGACTTGTTAGGTGAGTAATTTTTCATCCATTATAGAACACTCAGAGTAATGAGAGACACTAAAGGAAAATTGTATTTTCTTTGTTTTGATTAGTTTTTCTCATACTGGTTTAGTAATTGTGCAGAATTAGTCACTGTTTGTGCCAACGTGAATACCACACATTACAGAGCTGAGCTTCCTGTTTATAACTTAGAACAAACACATTTATTGGTGTTTGACCTACTGGTCTTTGAATGGGCCTCTGAATTGTAAACAGATTTGTTCTTTTCAGCAACTTTTTGCCAGATCGTTTAGAGGCTTACAAATAGTGATGGTAAGACATTTCTCATGCCAGCATGCAAAAGGTAATCAGAGCAGTCCCTGATATAGTTTACAATGATATTTATGAAAATTGCCTTTGTGGAATTGCTCTTGCTGCTTGGCTGTAAAGAATATTTAAAGGTTTTAAAGTACTGTGTGAGAGGTTCTGTGTAATTATTTCACAGTGCTCTAAATGAGGTATAACTAATGAATTTACAGTAGCATTCCAGCTCAAGCTGTGGTGCTGCATTCATTCCTCTCACTAGTCAGTGACAGAAAAATCTCCTTTGCCATATTATAAATGTTATGTTTAAAGGAAATGTTATCCCAGAAAATGTCAGGTCCTGTGATGGGTGCAGTGACACAATCTGTGGTGAGGTGATCAGCTGAAAATGTAATATCTCTAGGGATGTAGAAAACTTGTCAGAATGTAAGAGACTTGCACCCTGGGTTTGGCAATGCTGTCGTCTTCAGGGGAACCAACCTGTGGAGCAGCCCCTGGATTCACCTGACCCAATAGCCTACTTATTCCCTGGCAGCAGTATATTAGAAAAGAAAAGAGAGAGATAAAAAAAAAAAAAAACAACTAGAGAGGATTTTAGAGCTACAGAGTACTTATCTGTTACATAATTAGCTCCTTGTGGGAACAATATCCCTCCCATTTGAATTAGAAGTCACTTTATAGCCTGATGGGTAAGAGCTTACAGCCCTCAGCAATGGTCTTGGGACTCTCTCGTGGTGATATTTACTGTATTTGTTGCCCACATAAAAAACATCTCCGAATTCTGTCAAACACAGCATGTGCCTGGACGTCTCCAAGTGCAGGGAGAGCAAAGTCCTCAGGTCTCTCTTCATCCAGCCATGCAGGCACAGCCTCAGGGGATTTGGGAACAGACTTGCTTAGAGAACAGTTCCTTTGTGAGGGCTATGATGGAGTGAAGAGGCTGGGATGGAGCTGGATTTCTTAGCCAGCTCATTTCTTATGGGTACTGTGGCAGACAAACATATGTTTGTAGGGGCTCCTAGCAAAGGACAGGTGGCAGGGCCACTGCTGCTGTCCATACATCAGCCCTTTAAAGAGGTATGACTGCCAACTTCCTTCAGCTGCATGTATGCATGTTTACCCCCTGACCTTGGGAATCTTCTATTTCTCATCCTTCCTTTTGTAATTTCTTGTCTTCTCATTTTCCCCCTCATCCTCACTAGGGATTTATGAGGATGCTGAGGAGCTCCTCCACCTCTGCTGGGTGTGAGGAGATAAGAAGCTGCTCAGACAGCAGCATGATTCCCCCACTGTCACCATTTCTCCTTCAGTACTTTCATTGATCAATACAGAAAGCTTTGGCATAAGAAAAAACCTCCTTGTATTTATTCTTAAAATACAAAAGTTGTATTTCAGCAAGGCTATTCATTAGGAGGAAGTGGATACTTTCAAACTACTTCAGCAGTTCTCTAATGCTGTCTCAATAGCTGAATCCCAATTTCACAGCACTGGAGAATAAAACATTCAGTAATGGACTGCTGCTGCTATTCATCTCCAGGTACAAGAGACTCACCCTATCTCTTCTGGTGCCAAGTTGAACAGCATTGCTTCAATTCAGCTCTGCACAGGAGAGGAATACGTTACTTCACTACTGCCTTCACCTGCTCCTTTTTCTTTGCTTCATTATGCTGATTTTCTTGAGTATTTCACAGTTTGTCTACAAGAGAATTTCTTGTTTATTAAAATTCCTTTTTTTTTTATCTTCCCCTCTCCAAACATTCAGCAGCAAAAGCCATGTACAGTCAAAAGCAATACTCATTCCTTTGTACTCCTTAGATGTGGAGAGTCCTTGTTAATTAGAAAAAGCAGGAAGGCAAAGTTTTCTTGCAGAATGATGGGCGTTTCTTTCATAAATTCTGACAATAGCTGAGAAATCCTTGGGAAATAATGTTCTTGCCAAAATTCACTCAGCATCAGACACTCTGTGAATAAATACTTCAGTTCCTTGCTTGCCACGTGGAGTCCTTTTGTTCCTTAGTCCTGCATCTGATTTGAGAACTGAGGAGTTCATGTCTGTATGTTTGGGTTTTTTCCCCTTAGAAAACATGATTTCGTGTTGCATTAGGACAGTAAGGGCGGTGCTTCTTGTTACATCCTGATGTTCTAGCTCGAGGTTGTGGCACAGACTGATCTCAGAACATGTAGACAGTGCATGTGTATATGCAAGTTTGTGTGTTAGATTTCACATCTTTGGGCTCTTACTGCTAAAGTAAATCATTTGTCAAAACTGGTGCAGCCTGGAAATTTTATCACCCAGTACCATTAGGAACAGTGAGTGCATTGCAACTGTACAACATTACTTGAATTTGGCATCAAATTTTTTGAGTAGTCAAGTATTGGTTCATTTGCGTTGAAGAAATCTTTCTAGTAGAGCAAATATCTCTACTCTTGATTCAGTGAGTTAAAGGCATCAGAACTCTAGGCACAGAACATAACTGGAGTTTTTTTCCTTCTTTTATCCGCAGAGACTGAATAAAGTTTCTATGATAGAAATTGCAACTTAATAAGGAATTCTATGGTGAAAAGTTCTAAGGTTAGAAGAGTCCTGGATAACTGATAAACCTAAATACACACACAGTGCTTCTGAACAACAGAGATACTGTTCTTTCCCTTTCTACAAATGAGATCTGGGCAGATAATTTCTGTTCAAGGATCCTCCCTAGAAAAAGGGGTATTGAAATGCACACCCTTCTTGTCCTTTCTGGTTTTGGAAACACAGAGAACTTTAGTTCTGGAGGCCTGTGTGTGTGGCTTCGTAGAGCCCAGCATCATGCTGAAGGTTGATGCTTACATTTTTAATAAAGACCATGCAGATTGGTGTTTTTTCCATTATCAGTATTTTAACTGTTCAGTTAATTTTAATTATCAAATCATAGAAAAGCTTTCCTCCACCCAATGGAATTTAAAACCTCTTGGCCAGGTGTTGGGCTGATGAAGGAAAACATATGACAGTAACTGTTCACCCATAATGAGATTTCTTTCAGAGGCAACTTGTAAGTGAGTACACAGATGTGTTGATGTAATAACAGAAGGTAAATCAGTAAGGGAAAACATGACAGCACACTGTCTGTGTTTTGGACTCTGACACCCTTCTGCCCCCAAGCAGCATGTGGTAGTTTTTCAAGACAGAAAAACAACTCCCGTAAATCCAATGCCACTCAGCCTAGCACAGGCTGGGAGTTTTGAAGAAACATGAAACTTGGTATTTCACTAAATGAAGCACTTGACCACTCACATTCATGCATTGTTCACTGAACTCATAAATGTGAAAGAACTGTGGGACTCTGTTAATCTGATCACATTAACTGTAAGTTTCCTTTTACAGTTTTAGAATAAATAGTTTTAAAAGTTGTTCCTAAGGTCAAGAAAAACAGACAAGTTAGTCTTAAAGTGAAATTTGCATTTTATTTTTTATGCTCTATTATTTGCTATCAAATTACTTTCTTTGTTACAGTTCATTTCTGAAATAGTTGAGCCATGTTTACCTTCAGGTATGCCAGTGAACAAGTGTGTAGTTTTCAACAAGTAGTGTTATTTCGGGTCCTCTATTTTTCAGACTCCTACTAGAAAACCAATTTGTTAAGGCAAATATAATATTTGTGTTTAATATTTTTCTGAAGATCGGTGAAGCCAGGCACTTAGAATGGCCAGTGACTTTTGATCAGGTGGTGTCTGTCAAATAGCTTTACGTTCTTATTCAGGAACTGTCCCTGAACTGGAAGGAGTTGCTTTGTGCATATGCCATGGTTTGTGTTTCTCCTGCCTGCTTCTAAAACACTGGGAAGCATGTCTTGGTAGGTCACAACATTAAATCTGGCAGGCAGCAGGCTGTCAAAACCCCACTTTTCCCATGGAGACAACCCTCCTCAAAACTGTGCCTTTTCCACAGGTACACGCTGGCGGCGCAGGACCTGGTGATGCGAGCCAGGGGAGTGCTGAAGGACCGGGGCTGGCGGATATCCAACGACAGGCTGGGCTCTGGAGACGACATCTCTGTCTACGTCATCCCTTTGATACACGGCAACAAACAGTCGTGAGAGGAGCACCAGGAGTGGTTACAGGATGGCGATCTTTGTGGGAAGGGCCTGTAAGAGACAATAGGTTTTTGGTGGTCTGACCAGGACAGTTCCAATTGATGTAATCTAGTCAAAACTAATGCTGGAGGGGTATTTTTCTGCCCAAGAGGTAGGGCTCTGCACATATACTGTATATGATTAAAGATAACCCTTAAGACTCCAATTTCCCTGCAGAAATGGTTTTGGTGCTTAACAGGAATGGGATTTAAATGCTGCTAGCATATTATGGATTCTGTCATCCCTCTAGGTGGGGTGGGGAATTAATTTTTTTCTCAGTTTACCATGTAGCTTGGAAGAGCCATTTCAGTTGTGAAAGTAGGTGTCAGAAGCCAAGGAGGCTCCTGAAATCTACCCCCAAATATTCAGAAGGGGACTTGGGTCACATCTCATTTAAGAATATAGATATACATATATGAGACTCAAGAGTTTTCTTCTTTCAGAAAGTTGTATTCATGACTTATCTATGGACAACTTCAAACTTACGTAATCCTTTGAACCCCTATTTTCCTCTCTTGTCTCTTCTTCAGTAGACTATACCTCCTGTATTTTAGTAGGAAAACTGAAATGGGTTTCAGTGTGACTATGCCTGTTTACTGCAGCTAAAACAGTCACCTGCAAAGTTGTCCAGGAGAAATAGGTCACAGTCCTGTATGGCAGAATTCATCCTGGTGTGAGGAGTTAGTTGTCAAGATTTCTTGTTGTGTGGATACCATGATTATACAGAGCATGCAAACTCAGCTTTATGTGATGTTTACCTGGATGCCATGGTTTCTTTGGGATCAGAGATTTACATTCATTGAATGGTTCTGCCTGCTTTATCCTGTTGAAAGGATCTCTGACCATAAAATTCTCCCATTAGTTGAGATTTAGTAAATTTGTTTGGGCTCATGAGTGTATTTTCAGTTGGACTTCTACTTGAAGGAGTGGTATTGTTCTCATTAGCAATTTGGATACCCAGATAGTGATCTATTTCAAAGATGGTTCAGTTCTTCCTGCCTCATTTATTTTTACGTCACCTGCTTGACTTCAGTGATCACAAAGGGACAGCTTCAAACTTTGTCCTCTTGGCATTGAGAATTGTACTCAAGGATCACAAGATGACTGTAATAGATACAAGCCCTTGGCTTGCTTCAGCAGCTGTTTTCTTAGCAGCGATAAATCAATTTAAATAAAGAAAATTTGTGTAAAACACTATTGTCATGAAAGCAGTAGTCCAGGAGAAAAACAAGTGAGCAAGTCTGCAGTGTAACCTGGCTGCTTAGTCCATGCAGGTAGGTCTCTTACTTCATTGTCAGTTCAAGAGAAAACAAAATCAGAAAGATCTAGCATGCAGGAAGGAGGTATATTGGCTGGGGAGCCAACATCCACCTCATTTGTGTCCAGACCACATAGGTGTGGAGCTGTTCATCTGGTTTGTACTTCTTCAATAAGAAAAAAGACAGGGAGCTGACATCATTGTAGGGCACTGACTAGGAAGCTCACAAACGTTGTGTGAAGAGAAAGAGATGCTGTGCCCTTTGCAGACTTTCTCCCGAACAGGTGTGGCCCCGAGCTTGCCGGTTCTGTAATTTATGATGTGCTGTGTAAACACGGCACAGCCTGAGTGCGGTGCAGCTGCCCAGATGCTGGATTTGACTGCATCCAGAAATAGTTTGGTGGATTTAAACTACTCTTGCTCCAAATCTCTAGACCCAGAAAAGTTTCAGGATGAAAGCAGGCAATGTGGAGAGTGGAACAGCTCAAACATTGCAACAAGCTGCGTGATTTTAGCCTGGAAACTGTTCCATGAGTTCCCTAGTGCCTCATGTGATAAAGCTGTACAAAATGTGGACGTTTTATATTCTAGAGCTTCAGTATAAATCAATGGCATATCTGATTACGTATTTTCATGCTTTCTTTCCTTATTTTTTTTTTTCTCTTTACCTCCTTTTCTATGTGCATCTGGGTGAAAAGAGAGGCTTGGAGTCTAGAATATTTTTCACATGGCCCTTCACATGTTTTAAAGTTTAAGCAAGAGATCCTCTCTTGCACTATTCTTTTTTTTTTGGCCTAATAAACTTGTAAACATGCTTTTCATGCTCTATGTAACTCCTGTTGTCTCTTTGCAAATGCATTTGTGTAGCAATTCAGATCCTCTTTGACAAAAAAATTAGTGATGGCAAATCTGGTGAAATCATCTGAACAGCAAAGATGCTGGTGCTTGCTGGTGCCAACTACAAGCCCAAGTCAAATATTTCAGTGCTCGTGCACTGTTGGTCTTCATTTGGTAGCATGGTGTCAACACACATACCAGTCACTATAAAACCACTGAGTGCAATGTGGTGGAAGTAGATTTCCAGTGCAGCATTTGCCAAAATTTGAAAGCGAAACTTCAAGGCACCTTCTCATTCAAGGGTGTTTTTAAATGTACCCCTGAAGAGATGGGTTAGCAGACTGCATGGCTTGGTGGGAGCAAAGTGGCAGGTTGCTTTCTCAGCATGATCTGTTGGGCTGGTGAATCAGCCTGCACATTGTTTGTTGTTCATCTGAGGCATTGCCATCAGTCAGGAGTTTCTTTGCAGCAGCTGGGCCCAGGTTGAGTTAGGTTCAGTCAGCCCCTCTCCCAGAAAGGGCAGAAATACAGTTTCAACAATTAGTATCAATTAGCATCAATTAATGAATTCTGAGAACTTTAATAAAATGTTTTATACTCAGATTTATGTGACTGAAACTGTTCTGTGACGCTTTTTGCTTTGCTTTTTCGTGAAGTATTTGTTCCACATTTAGGTGCTTGCCTCTCTGGAGTGTCTGGCACATCTCTGATTCATGCATTAGTACTTGGGCTTTCACTTTTACCTGCTTTCAGTAGGAAATTCTTGCACACCTGGGGTTGTGCTCTGCTTCAGGGCATGGTATAAATACATATACACACCTAAGGCTCACACAAACAGCAGGCAGGAGTCATTTATTGGGAAGATATTATGTGAAAAGCAAGAATAATTAAAAACACTTCCAACTCCCTTTAAAGGCTGAATGACTTTGCACTGCACAGCATTACAAAACACTGGTGGCAGGGAGGATTCCTTGGTGCACGGTGCCATTTTTCAGATGGGTGCAGGATAGGTACTGCCATGTTCAGACTTGCAGCTGCACTAGGGCTCAGTGAAGCTCCTGAGTTAGGAGCAGACATCTTGTGTCCTCAAACTGGAGCAAGTTAGGCACCAAGTCCAAATTTTAGATGCCTGGCATGTCATCTTAGTTACTGCCTAATGCCAGCAGTGCTCTGGCTTTTGCCGGTCAAGTTTCCTTAGTATCCAAAACTGCTACAGCCTCAGCAGCAGGGAGCCTCAGCCCTGAGTTGGATCTGTGTTCATATTGCTATTGCACGCAGTATCCTTTGTATCCCAGTGCACAGGCACTGCTTGGAAAGTTGGGAAAATTCTTGTCCTTCCTTGGATAATGGCACGGAAAGGCGCCAGTAGAGGAGTTCCAGTGAACTGCAGTGTAACACTGTCTTCTTTTCTAGAAACTCAAAACCAAGAGGCTTTTACCATTCTCCCAGAAATATTGTTGCAGAAAGTAGAACAGCCACTTCAGATATTTTTCTCTTGCACTACAACCTAAAATTTTCTTTATTTAAGTTGATGAAGAAGGTGGTTAGAAATTTAATTTACACCTGATTATGTAAGGCACACAACCATCTTTTGGTGCATTAAGACAATAATGCTTCCTTCATGAACACAAAAGTGTATTGTCTGAGAGGGTTGCTGTTCAGTGGCCTCACACTGGAGAGAGAATTTTTTTAATAAATTCTAAAAAACAGGGCTAACAGGCTAAAGGAAAAGTGGTCAGAATCTGCTGTTTATAGTGGATTTCCATTTGCAGTTACTTCTACATTGAAATATGACAACACATTGTTTGTGAGGTACTGTCAACTGTCCCTCCAGGATGTTTCTGAGGAGCTGCTCTTGATTTTTGGGCAGATTTTGGCTCTGAACTTCTGCTAGGTTTTTAAAGAACACTACATGCTTCGAGCAAATCTGCTGTGTTTCTTCCAGCCTTGGTGTTTTCCTTTTATTTTACATTTTATGTACTAATACTTTTAGCAATTTTCTATCAAACATGAGTGGCAAACTGTGTGGAACTGTTTTTCCTCCCAGACATTTTAGGTATGTAAGTAGTTTTCCTCCATGTGTCTTAGATGAAGACTCAGTGATGTGGCTGTCATAGAGAGAGTGACCAAACGATGCTGTAACTGTGCTGCTGTATTTCTACCTGTGATGTACTTGAAGGATGCCTTTCTCCACCTCTCCACCTCCATGCTCATTTTTTTTTTTTATTCCATTGCTGTTGGTATTCTTTCATAGGTGTCTAATTCTGATTTTTTTAATACCTGCCACATTTATCTTTCCTTCAAGGGGCACTTCATCTTAATATCTTGAGATCTGTACAACTGTCTAGGGTTTATATGTCCTGGAGAAAGGAGGACCTGCTGGAGGAAGATGTTTTGGACCAATGTACTTCTGCTTTGTGACTGTGAAATGTTAATCTTTTTGTAACCTAAGAACAAAAAATGTTTAGTAAAGGGATATATTTTGTGTTTTTTGAAACTTTTCAGTGCAATGAACAAAAGAGGAGGATACTGAAGAAGTGTATGTGCAAAGTTTTAAAATAAAATTTTAAATTATATATTATATAATCCATCTGGATGTATAATCATTTTTTATTCTGCGTTTGTCATGAACATTCCCTGAGTCTCCTTATGTGTATTACTAATTGTGCAGTGTGGACAAGTAGCACACTCTGCTTTACAAGGGAACTGATGATTCACTGACAAAAGGTCTGATTCTTAAGCTAGTGAAGTAAATTCCTTTGAGGTGCATTAGTGGATGGGTTGATCCAGAAGAGTTCAGGTGCAGGGTAGCTGTGAGAGCTTTGTGCTGCCGTGAGATCATGATTCATCACGCAGACTGCCAGTTGCCATGTTCTGACTCAGTGAAGAGCTATGCAAAGTGATCCAGGACCAGTCTCTGAGACATTGGATGTAATTTTGGAAATGACAATACAGTTGGAGTAAGTCTTCCCTCATCCTCAGTTCCTTAGGAATCACTGTCTTCTGAATTCTGCTCTGAGTTTGTGTTTGAGTAAGGGTGAATTCACAGGTTCCACTGAAGTAAGCTCTCACGGTTATTTAGTAACCAGAGGTGCTTTTGCAGCTCCTGAAGGTGCAGGAACCGACACCGGCCTTGCCCTGTAGCAGCGCAGCTGTGGACAGTGCCCACCTCAGCTGCCAGCAGGAGAACGCGAGCTGGGCATGTATCTACTCATTAGGTTTTGAAATACTGCATTGCAGCACAAGTGGTTCTCCTGCTTCCTATTTCGCCTCATGCTTAGTAAAAAAGCACAAAAAACATCTGTCCTAGTGCTACTGCGGTTTTTAAAGTGCTGCACCTGCCCGTTGTATCCACTGAGCACAATGGAGAACACAGAGAGAGGCAATGTGTTGCTTTCTTTCACTCTTGCTTCACTACTCTCCCCTTAAGTCCTACAGTTTATTACTGCAGTGCGACCTCAGTGTCAAGTTTAAAATTGCTGTGCAAATACTTCAGCACAGCTTTGCCTGGCTTGCTGGTGTCAGCTGAATAATAAGTGTTGGTAGCATGCAGTGACAGGGAACTGTTGCACACTGGCTGAACCTAAAGGACCTTATTCCACATCATCCTTTGCATTTCCTATGCCCTAAATTCTATAAGGTTGTAGATCAAGTAAGGCTTCTTATTTTCAATTTTTTTAGGTGATCCATAAAACTCCTAAAATTTGGACATCAGCTTCTGTAATTCCTGTAGGCAGTAAGATAGTGCTTTGCCAAACAATCCATTCATGTATCCTAGTGAATGTGCCCAGTTAACTAAAGTGACATAAGGGAACAATCCCAGTAATTTATTGTATTTTGTACAGTTTCTGTAAAACTGAGGCCTGAAATTTTGTCTTCTTAATGTATCCTGGTAGAGCAATGTACTTTCACAGTGGGTTGACTTCTTTATACTTTCACACAGTGGCTTTTACTGATTCCAGAGTTTCTCTCATGCTTTTCAGGAAGGCTTATATAAATCAAGGTTTTTGCACATCCTGTTCTTGTTAGGAGGAAGGATGAAGGTTTTTAAAAAAAAATCCTCCACTCTGAAAAACAAAGGATGCCATAACTTTTTGGGGATGTTAAAATAATTTCAGGGGAAATGGTGTTTTGAGGGTGAAATTGTTACAGAGGAGTTTGGTGAAGGTAGACAAAATGTGTCTACAGGTAGAAAAAGAGATTCTTAATAATTTAAGAGTAATTAATCATAAATTTGAAGCTGTAGCAATAGTCCATGACACTCTGCCACAAAATGTTAAGGGGAGAGGGAGGTAGCTGCAGCAGACAAAATAATTAGATCTTTACTGTAGCAAATTTAAGACTGATTATTTAGATGTGTAGAAAAGTAAGATCTCTGAGCCTTCATGAATTTGAGGCCACCCAATAATAGAATTAAATTATTTTTCTCATGTGTTTTAGTGCATAATTTTTTGGCCTCTTAAGGAGTCAAAGTATCCCTCATCTTGACCACAAGCATTTATTCCCTTCAGTGACAGAAATCAATCCCTCACAGTGTTCCTCTGTCAAGACAGCACACAAACAGCTGTAATGGTTTGGTGTTTTCCATGAGCTTCTCGGCCATCCCTGGATTTACAAGTCTGTTGGTTGGGTGTTCTGCTTGTCTGTGGTAATTCAAGAACTTTCCCAACAGACAATTCCAACAGAGCATCTTCCAGGTTTATTTATGCAGTGGGGGTAGTGTTTTTCCTTCTTTTCCTCTCCTTACTGTGCCCCTCTCAGATTTAAAACATTTTGGAGTAGTTAACTGCTGTTTGAGATGAGACACTGAGTCCCTGGCCACTCCTCCCACCACTTGCTTCCTGCAGGTGCTGACAGCAAGAGCATCTCCAGCAATGCAGGAATGCTGGTAGATAAAGAGAAGACTCAAAGAAGGGGAAATGGTTTCTTCATTATCCTAACATTGCTCATTACCTCTAAATTAAAACTAACATGCCTGTAATATTTTAATTCTCCA